AAGACCGAAAAAAAACAAACTTTAATAAAACCTAACAATGCATCAATATTTAGGTCTGCACTTTGTTTTGTCCAATGATATTAAAGTTTAAATTAGCATAAAAATATCATATTTCCAACTGGAAGAGTAAGATAGATTCAATGTTTAACTGGGCGAGAAAAATAAATCTTGGAGAACTTTTACAGCAGAGCGAACACAATCATAAAGAAACGATGAAACTACATAATCAGCATCGATTGTTTAAATTGCTATGATATAGTTGTGTTTAATTAGTTTTGCATTCTTTTCTATTTCAGCAGCATTCGATGTGCTCATTAGAATTTCTGAATGTTTTATATTTTAATACACTCATGCTAAAGCACGAAGACGCAGGGGTCTGAAGACAGCTTGAAATTAACGCTTCTAACGAAGTCCGTCAAGGGAACATCATACCGCCCTAGCCGTGTGATGAAACAGGATGGTGAACTTTCAATCAAAGGCAGACGGTTCACTAAACCTCGATCTACTGACGAAATTGTGCTGTTCAGGACGCAGACAAAAGCAGTTGCAGTTATGTTATATGAACTAGAGTTAAAGAGTAAGCAAGTTGGAATTCAAATATAACAGGACGAAGACGAAGATGATGAGAAACAAATTTGCACAACCAACTACAGTTACCAGCAATGATGGTCAAGTAGAAATCACCGAGTATGTCTACTTGGGTTAGCTAATCATCTTGTACCAATCCGTTAGTTCAGAGCTCTCTAGAAGGTGTCATACAGCCCAGACTATTTACACAAAGATGCTGACATTCATGAAAACAGAAAATTCTAAATATTGTCAACGGCTCTATGCGATTATCAGATCTAGACATCAAAGAAACTAAACGATTAACTGTAGCGAGTTAAGGAAAGAAAATGCCAGCAACTTCCATCAAGAACAAGCAGTGAAATGACTAAATAAGATGACCCCTGGAATGAAAGACTCTAAAGGAAACAAGAAGACGATGGATATAGTTCAACCTTGCACGACTGACGGATGACGGATGGACGTCAGCGGTGGCAGACTAGTATCCAAGGGGTTATAAGCCCCCAGTTGCAAGACCTCATACGATAAGCTGAAAGAGAAATACAACAGCTAGTGGCGACAATCGCAT